TGTCTTACCGCGGACGTGTTTTCCGCAAATAGCACAAGGTTGTGATTGAATGTTAGATGCCTGACCTGTTTGCCGATGCGGTTAATCCTACCGTTTCAGTTTATCCTTCGAAACACTATTTTCAAACATTCAGCGAAGAATTTCAGGGAGATTGTATCTCTTTCTTTCACGCCCATTTTCCAGGAAAATCCGGAGAGGTGTTGAGCAGTGTTGCTCGTGAAGCAGTCAGAGTTCACTTATTTTACCAGGTTGAAGTAGTGGGTGTTGATGCAGTCCATACTGCGTTGCAGTCGACAGTATCGAACACTTTCACGTAGTTGACGAAGGCTAAACACAGAGGAATTGACTTAAGGTAAGGATATTACCTGTAATGCTGTAGCCCGTTCGGAATCTCGACTGTTTTCTTCGCTGCGGATCGTCTAGGCTTGCTGGCAATCTATTCGTGATGAGCTTAGTTAGCTGCTTGTGGATTTGCGTGGGTAAGCTAATTGGGTGGCAGTTTTTCAGATTTTCCTTCTCGTCATTGAAGAACAACGAGACTGTTTTAGATTCGTTCCAGATGAGTTTTCCGCTAGTGCATCTGATCACCTGATCTTGTTATTTCAATTGTCAGAACGTCTCTTCCTGAGGCTCTTTCTCCTTTCATTTGCAGCACACCATGTCAAATTTTGCTTATGCACACCGGAAGTTCACGTTCTTCTGACCGTCGGAGCAATGGTTTCGGATACGACGTGTCTCTGACGCAAGTAGCTGGGTGTACGAGTCCTTGCCGACAGACTTCACTGTATATCTGTCAGACGTTAGTGCGCTATGACCGTTCTGCAAAGCCGGGATAATCGACGGATAAAAAGCTAACTCTCTCCTGCACTGTCTGAAACTTGTACGGTCTTTGGCGGATTCATCCAGTTTTTACAGTCAGAAATTAATTTGAAGAGATTGATGTTAAGTTTAAAGCTATGAATCTGATGGTAAAAATCTTGCACCATTCATCCACTCACTTCGTATCGAAGTATTTTGCTTTATGTACGACGGCTAGTAGCCCTGAGGATGCAACTGAGTGTGTAGCAAAAGACGTTGTTATTAAAAGTGTCAAATTCTGTGTAGTTTATTGCTCCATCTAAAAATTACAGAGCATATGTAATTTAAATTAAACAATTTCATTTTTATTTCTGAGATCCGTTTTACATCTATGAGTTGCTCTTTAATAAATTGGCACTTCAGCGGCTCTAGACACAAAGAAAAATGGGTTCGGCAATCTTCCTAAGATTTTGACGTTTCAATCAAATACACTGACCATCCTCAGGGCAAACAGTGAGTTAGAGAATTCTGGAAGCCAAATTTTAATTTTATTATTACCACACAAGCTTCAAATGTACAGAATTCCTTAAAGTAATTGAACTTTTATAATTATTCCATTAGACAGAGAAACCTCATCGTTTAACTTTTATCATCAAATGAATAAGAATCGACGTAAGTGGATGTTACATCAGTCAGAAGTTTTTTTTCGAAGTTAACCGATTTGGGCCTCACCGCTTTGACTACAGTGCCAGAGACCAAAATCTAATGAATAAATCTGTCCTATGTGTTTTTTGCAAATTGTGAATCTAACTTTTATCTGAAAATACATGAAAGAAAGAGTTCTCTCCTCGACACAGTTTGGTGTGAAAGTTCCAGCTTTAGAAATGAATGAAATATCACTAATTCCCCAAAATACGATTTGTTTACATGAACAGAAGCAATTTGGTTTTCTTCATTAGTAATGCAGGGTGGAGCACTGGATATTTTAATAAAAAAATTCTTTTCGGACAGTAATAATTAATCCTCACATTTCATCCATTTTACTTCTGTTTGATTAATAGAAATTCCTGCAGGTTTTCTGCTAAGATCGAAAAGCAAACATACTTCAACGTATAGCAAGGGCTAACTCCTACTGTTTGCCAAAGTTAAAAAATCCGAATCCAGAATTTAAACAGAGATCAGACAAGAAGCAAAAAAGATGTCTGTTGAATCGGAATGTGGTGTGATGGCTTAAATTTGAAGATCATTTTCTTAGGCCAGACAGAATGGCAGACAAAGGGTTATTGCTGTAGTTTTTATGATCTTCAAATGCTGAACAGCTAATTTGAGGTAACATAAAAATTCAGACTAAAATATCTGGTTTTCACTGATAAATTCAAAGTACAATCAAGGATAGCTTATTTATTCTGCTTTAGATGATGAATTGAAGAGTTATGAGTTTAGATTTAATGGGGAAAAATTTTTCTGAATTAATTGGTAGGTCACTTGCTAGTTTGCGTCAGGCAATCGTGTAATAAGCCAGATGCACTTAAGGTACGTTTTCGAAATTTTTTTAAGAGATGCTATATAATGCATAGACATGCACTATTCAGTATACTCATGCAAATGATAGGTTCGTGGGAAAATTTCGAATTAAATGGCTCATTGTTGAATTGCTCAGTGAAATCTTGGACTGAACCTCCTTCTTACTAGAATGTGATTGATCGAAGAAGACATGGTACATGATACATATGCACAAGTTGATTTGTTGTAAAGTTGTGTGAAATTGGATCAAGCGAGCCATACCTGTGTACTCAGGGAAACACACGGTGAGCGGCGACTTTTTGATCTTTTCTTCGAAAAGATCCTTCTTATTCAAAAACAAGATGATGGACGTATCAGTGAACCACTTGTTGTTGCATATGGAATCGAACAGCTTCAGTGACTCATGCATTCGATTCTAAACAAGCGTCCAATGCTCATTGTATCAATCAGCCACTTTGTCATCTCTGTTCATTACCGTCGTCTCGTCCTCGTGCAGCACTTGGTCGTATTCACTCATAGCGACACAGAAAATGATGGCGGTTACGTCTTCGAAGCAGTGGATCCACTTTTTCCTTTCTGAGCGTTGGCCACCAACGTCGAACAGTCTGAAAGCATGGTCAGGCGTTACTTCACTGCAAGTTTCAAACGCGTTCAAGTTACTTGAAGTTCAAGTTTTTAAACGTGAAATGTACTTCTACGATACCGGTCGTTTTCACACGAGTCCTGAGGATGTCCTGCTCTGTTGGCTGATACTCGTAATGGCCGAGCCGATCAAGATCATCGAGGAAACTGGAAAAATCGTCTTTCATTAATACAATCAACGAACATTAACCTTAGAATACAACAACTATTGGCATATAAATATAACTGACATTAGAAAGTCGTACATTACCAAAATGGCACTCTGAAAGGGCCAGGGTTGTTCAGATAGTAAACAGTAAAACTCCTAGTCAAATTACTGAAGTTTTGAATTCTTGTAACAAATTAATATTTCATGGTTTTTGGAGAAAACAAAAATTTGAACCAAACGGTAAGAAGGAAGAAGGAGGTCGAAAAGCTACGTGCAACAGAGATCACTTTACTGCAGACGTTTCTTTAAAATAAATGCAGTCCATTTTTGGCTGAGATTAGCGTTGTGCCATAAGTTCTGTGAATTTAGAGGAACACAAATTGTGATAATCACTGAATTCACAAAGTTAAGCAATATCTAGATGGTTACTGTCGGAAAGCGACAATCATCGTCACATAAAAATCATCCAAAATGAGGGTCGCTGTTCCGCGTCATTCCGCAAGGTGCAGATTCAGGGAGCACTCCTGGCAGTTGAAGTAGTGGTCTGAGTTTATGATTAGATTAGAAACTCTCACCAAAATGTGAGCACCAATAAGTTTCCATTCAGGTGTACACCATGTGACCGTTGACCAAGCATCCGGCT